GCCATCTGTTACTTATGCGCAATATAATAGAAGTTCAATTTACGTATGATGGTTGGTTTCTCTGTAGCTTATACTGAAGACAGTGTGGTATGGATCTGGTTCAATACTTGCTTGTCTCTTCTTACTGTCAGTTTTATGTTAATTGTACTGTATCACCTCTACTTGCAGCTATCACAAACACCCTGGTATAATGTACTAGTGGGGAAATTGCTTAATATGCTCTATGATGATGATGATGATGAGCCTCTTTTAGATGTAACTGATTCTCATAAAACTGTTGATGAGCAGAGGAATGATATTGTACCCAGTTCTACTGATTTTTTTTAGACACCGTAGGGAATTTGTTGTTGATCTGTTTTGAAGAATTCATGCATGCTAACTTGATTTTGCTTTTGTTTAATTTGTTGTCAATTTTTGCTGATAAAAATACATGAATGCAATTATCATCAGTTTATCATTCATTTGATTTTGTTTGTCACTTGTACTAGTCTGCTGTGTTTATCATGTGCTGATAATAACATGCATTTCTTCACTCCAATAATTATTTACACTTATTTGTGAGAGTTTAACGCAGAAAGTAGGCAAATAGCTATTAGGCTATAAATGAACTGATGATCTTAAGGAGTAAAACTGAGAGAGAAGAATCACAGAGACAGAATTAAAAAGAACATCAAGAGAGAGAGATAGTAACATACAAAACTAATGCACACTATAGTACATCACATAGATTACATAACACAAACCACAACGAAAATAATTTACTATCATTTATAATCATTTAACAGTGCATACATACTAACATTATTTGCTAAGTTGTTTGCTAAATTTTACTTCACTATATTAAGCATAAATTTGTGCAGCATTTGCACACCATACTACATTACTTTTTGTTTATGTGTGTCTTATGTTTATGAGTTATATGTACAATGGATCATTTAAAGTTCCCCCAACTGGGCAAGATGAGACTTGAGGCCTTGTTTCTGGGGTATCATATATGGTTGACTTATCAGTAGTACTGATAATAAGGGAAGTATAGTTGCTGTGGTTATCGACATTAGTTGATGGTATTTCATTGCGTATCATTTCATATGATGCTGAATCTTCTTTTGTGGCGACTTGGTTTTCATCAGAAGTCTCTTGAGTATGGAGTATAGAATTTTCGGACTTTGCTTTACCTTCATAGCATTTAAATCATAATAATATATTATGTATCCTTTTACCTTTTTTCCC